GAATTGAGCAAATCATTCTTTTTGCTCTCAAAAAAGTGAGTACATTTCCTATTTGTATTTGCTCTTATAACCACACGGTGTGCACTATATTTTATATTTTGTTTTTTATATCTACGGCGAGGACTTTACCCACCCATAGAAAGAAACAAGACCTATATGCACTTATATCCCAAGAGTGGGGATTATTCCACTCCAGGCCATATGCAAGGAGCCATTAGAGGGCTCTAACAAATATTTCATCATTATAAAAATAGGCAGGGGATTGTACTTCCCAGGTGCTACATCTAGAGCTAAGAGATAGCTCCCTACACTGTAAGTGTATTTCCTTCTGTTTTTCATTTGGAAATTTGACATACTGAACCATATATTTCTCCTCTCTTTTCCCTGTACATGCCACTTGGAATTTGACGACCCCTCCAAGCCGCTTCTCCCAATTTTTTTATCTCCTCTACATGGAGCCTCCTGTGTTGCCATAAAATTAGGGATTATTCTAACTTCAGTGACTGAATAAACTAAATTTTATTAAAGACAGGAGGCATATATTTTCCTGTCCAATTTCTTATTTTTTTATCCCAACCCTGTACTTTATTATAGTTTGTTTCCACTAGGTTTCTTCAGGTCATTTGTTCCTCTGATGTTTATGGTTTGCTACTATGCTTGCATGATTTTTATTGTTTATCTGTTAATTCATATGTATTGATAGTACTAATTACAGTAACTATAATTGTTCACAAATGTATTCTATGACTATGCAGGGCATATATGTCCTGTTCCAAGAAATGATTTCTTCATTTCTAGTGTGAAGATTCTTATCAACTGTTTGAGTGGTTACCTGTTGTTCCTGGTACATCTGTTCTTGGCTTCTCGTTAAAGTTTTCTAGTTTTGCATGGTTGACTATCCATTGGATTGGCTGCATAGATAAGTTGGGAGAAGTCTCACAGCTCTATTACAATCTGATATGTATTCTAGTTGAATTTTCTGTACATTTTACATCAAGGATACCTGAAATCAGGGAAGTCAAAATGAAGTCAAAGTAAAAAAACAGAAAAACACGATCAGGAGCACACTCTCGGATAACCATCTAAGGGAAACAACGACAGGGCAATGAGCTAAGGAATAAGTGAGTTTAAATAACCATCTTGCAGATCCGATTGGCTGTACCTAGCCCTTGACCCCAAAACGTGAGTGTGCGTCTTTTGCGTGATGTCACCTGCACATTGGCGTCGTCTTTACCGTGGACGGACGTGGGGCTATATAATTGCAGGGGTCTGCAGCGGCCGGCGTGCACCGACATGCTGCATAAGTCAGGCATCATGGCAGAAGACCGCCGAGCGGCACTCCCCTCGATCTTCAGAAGGTAATTATCTCCATTTTTGCCACATGGATACGAAGGATACGTGACATAACTCAATAGTGGAGCATTAGGTAATTGCATGCAATACTTAGTATTAGAATGAGGGGAAGCAGTGTATTAAATTGGGGGGATGAAGGGGGCATTGTATTAGAGTGGTGGGGGATGGGAGTGTGTTAAATTGGTGGGAGGCAGTGTATTAAATTGGGGGAAGGGAGGGGGATGTCAGTGTATTACATTGGAGGAGGGAGCAGTGCATTAGAGTGGTGGGAGGGAGGGGGTAGGGTATTAGAGTGGTGGGATGGGGCAGTGTGTTAAATTGGTGGGAGGGGCAATGTGTTAAATTGGAGTAGGGATGGAACAGTTCATGGGAGTGGTGGGAGGAAGGGGGGTGTATTAGAGTGGTTGGAGGGGCAGGGTATTAGAGTGGTGGGAGGGGCAGTGTATTAAATTGGGGAGGGGCAGTGTATTATAGTGGTGGGACGGGGCAGTGTGTTAAGTTGGTGGGAGGGGCAATGTGTTAAATTGGGGTAGGGATGGAACAGTTCATTAGAGTAGTGGGAGGGAGGGGCAGTGTATTAGAGTGGTGGGAAGGAAGGCAGTGTATTTAATAGGGGAGGGAGGTGGGACAGTGTGTATTAAATTGGGGAGGGGCAGTGTATTATAGTGGTGGGATGGGGCAGTGTGTTAAGTTGGTGGGAGGGGCAATGTGTTAAATTGGGGTAGGGATGGAACAGTTCATTAGAGTAGTGGGAGGGAGGGGCAGTGTATTAGAGTGGTGGGAGGGACAGTGTATTAGAGTGGTGGGAAGGAAGGCAGTGTATTTAATAGGAGAGGGAGGTGGGACAGTGTATTAAATTGGGGAGGGGCAATGTATTATAGTGGTGGGAGGGGCAGTGTATTAACAACACTTAACAACTAAGTCAAGCTCTTATAAACACTAGTTTTGTATATAAGAAAAAGGGTGAGGGACAGAAGGTATTCCTTCACGTGTGTTTTAGAGCTGCTGGTTTGGACATTTTTTATTATTGAAACACTTTTCCACACTTCCACAAACTTTGTTTGCAGGTTTAATAAAGAAGGTTAAAGCAAATATTTGCCTCCTGTCTTTAAAAAATATATAGATTATTCGGTCACTGAAGTTAGAATAATCCCTTATTTTTTTGATCTTTAATAGATTTTACTGATATCTCTGCATACTTGGAAGTCGTCTCCATCACTGTCTTGGATCTACGTGTTACAGGATCCAATGCTTTTTAAGGGGCTAATCCTCTTATAGTCTGATTGTCTCAGTGGCACATAGCCACTCTCCTTTTGTGAGTTGCTATCATTTAGGGGAATTAAATTATGTGGTTTATGGAGTTTTTTTTGTTTGTACATACAATATTGCACTATATTTTTTGTTTTTTTACTTTTAGAAATTCACATATGTATGGATATAAGTATTTCATAAAATTATTTTGCGCACCTCTTCTTTTGTAATTTGGGATGTTAAACATATTTTGGTGCTGCATGGGATGTGAGTTATCAATTAGAAATAGATTTGTTTGTTAGGTTTTAGTGTATAAGTATTGGTTGCACTGTTTAGAACATTTTGTGTTATATATCACGAAAATTTAGCGCCATACATTCACCATTAATTTTTGCTTCCTTCACTGGCAACACGAGGCCCGGACTGGCCATCAGGCAAACTGGGCAAATGCCCAGTGGGCTGCATTGACCTTGGGTTGAGGTTGACAGGGGAGATACTTTGATACTTTGATGCAGAGCCGGCATTACTGTCTGCCTTCTCGGGCTGGTGGGGAGATAAAAAGGCCCTGGAAGGCTGAACATTCCTCCAACGAGCAGGCTGTCTGAAGCACTGCAGCGCGTTACCACGGCAGTGCTCCGACATAGTGCTGAACTCACAAAGTAGTGAACCGAAGGAGCTGCAGGTTAGAGTTCACCCACCACCACCAGATCACCAGGGCTTGCAAAGTCCCCCCTCCAGGGCCAAAGGAAAGAAGATGGGTAGAGAGACATAAAGCTTAATAAAAAATTTACATTTCTACCATCTCATACCCCCCATACAAAATAGACCCTATGTATCTCTTACACACTGGACGACTGTGATTAAAAAATGCTAGGGTTATACATACTCAAAGGGTGAAAAGGGGGTGGGCGGCGGGCCCCATATAAAAAAGGGGAATGTCAGCATGATTGTGACACTATTCACCCGGTCTTTGAACCGGCCAGGATCCTTAAGCACTTCTGCCCCAAAACGAGCTGCATGCGGCTCGATCACTCCTCCCTAGTATTACACCGTGACACTGATGTAAATAGCTGAATGGCATGAGTGCAATGTGCAAAATTATAGAAAAAAAAATATAAAATTGATAAAGGCACAATATTTTTCACTAGTAATATGCAGCAATTGTTCAAAACTGGTTATTGTCCGAAGTACAATATAGTGCTATATGTTTCTGTAGAAATACACAAACGTATGCAAAAAAACATGCAAAAGGGTCCATCTTGTATCTGCAGTAACCATTCAAATTTTATGACACAGAAAACCAACAATAAATTTACAAACAATGCACAACAATTTTAAAATATACTATAATGTCATCCTATCATTCTTTTTGTCAGATGAATCTAAAAATAAATCATAAAGTTTACATAGTGCTAATGAGAAGTGCTAATTACAATATATTAAATTAATGGCATTCACAAGCTACGAGTGGCTCGAGTGCCACGTTGAATTGTAGTGCCCAGAAAGGCTTCTCTAAAAAAAGTGTTTTAGTGATTTTTTTTTTGGATTTTTTTTTAAGGACTGCAGAGTCCAGAAGAGTTTAATGTCCCATGGAACAGCATTCCATGTGCAAGGGGCAACCCTGGAGAAGTTGTGCAAACGGGTGTCTGGGGTATGAAAACAGGACAGGTTATTGGTGTAGCGCAAAGGCTGGACTGGAACATATCTGCTAATGAGAGATATAAGCAGGTTATCGAGAACTTTGTAAGTAAGCACAAGCACTTTAAACTAAATTCTAAATGAAACAGGAAGCCTGTGTAGAGACCGTTGGAGGGATGAGGTGTAAGAATTGTTTGATGTTAGGTAGATGAGTCTGGCAGAGACGTTAATAGTTGGTACAGTCGGTTGACAGGTGCTATAGTAGGGTGAAAACAGCTATAGTGGTGTAATAGGGACTATAATAAGGTGTCAGGGGCTATACTGGGGTAACAGGGCCTTTGGTGGGGGTGACATAGGCCATAGTGGGGGTGATGAAATATACTGGGGCTGTGGTGGAATGATCGACTGTAGTGGGGTGGCAGGGGCTTTGTAAAAGTGTATTCGCCCTCCCTAATGCTTACATTGGACCAGGGAGCGGGGAATCTGGTTCCCTGGTGGTCCGGTGAGCGATGCAGCATGCCTGCACCTTCCTTCCGGTGCCGTGAAATCTATCAGGTATAATACATGTAGTAGCTAGACAGGGGAAAATTTCTCCTGTCGGCCTCAGCCACACAGCAAGAGAACGGGCTAACTGCTGATGTAGATCTTTCATCTCTCTCACTGGCCATGCCGCTTCTCTCCCTCCTGCCACCCCAAGGCCATGACCTTGGTGGCCTTGTGACATATATCTGGACATGTCCTCAAGCCTTTGAGTCACCTATTCCCATATTAGTAACAATGTAATGACTTTATCTGACGTGTTCTAAGGTTAGATTTAGAACCTTGGGAAACATATTGCCAGTGGATGTGATAAGCAGAGAGAAGAGGCAAAAGTCCAAGAGGTTACGAACTTACTATAGCTTGTATTTGTAAATTGATAGAAATCTAATTAATTCCACATTCAGTGCTGCACTCTTTTTGTCTCTTATCAGCATAATTGATCCAAAGCTGTAATATAAAATAGCAATACAAATAATAAGACTGGATTTGGGTTTATTCTCTAAACACTGAAGTTTATTGAACTGAAAACCATATTGCAAAATGTGGACAAAAAATATAAATGTAATTTAACCCCTTAAGGACCAAACTTCTGGAATAAAAGGGAATCATGACATGTCGCACATGTAATGTGTCCTTAAGGGGTTAAATATAAAAAAAGCTAATTTAAAAACATTTTCAGCTGCAGTTAGAACTTGTCTATTTTGAGTCAAATATTTAAATTTATCTCACATTCAGTACAATTCTATGTTTAGTGAATAAGCCCCATGTTTTCTCCCTCTGAACTCATGAATAGAAAGGACGTATGTTTTATTTAGATTAGCACCTTCTAAGGCATTGGTTTATCTTACAGAGAATTGCATCTACATATACCTGTCATTTAAAGGGCAGTTTTGAAGGTGAAATGGATGAAAAGCCCTTTGAAAGAAGTCCTATGACTAACCATTTGCTCGTACAAGCCATAGTAAACTAGCATCAGATGTATCCCCTGGTTGTAATTTCATATCATGTCTTGTGACCGCTATTTAAAGAATACCCATTACATGCTTCTTAATGCCATATTAGATGCTGGGTAAAATTGTGACATTGTAAGTCTGATATCTATTAAAAGTTGGAAACAATATAAATAGACTTTAGATGTCACAAGGTTTATATACCAAACAATAAACTGTGATGGACTAAAAATTACATTGTCAAAATTATACCAAGACAGCCAACATGGGAATATGATTAGAACATTTTTTTCCAGTTTAGCAAAAAAAAAAATTCCAGTTCAATACAATTCTTTATTTCTGACAATCCATGAAAAAGATTCCTAAATACCCTTTTTTAAAAGTATTTATTGTAATTGTTGCCATATAGCAATATTCAATATTTAAAAAAATATAATTCATAAATAACCTTTCTTTGACTTTAATCATGATTTAGTATTCAATGCCAATATCAAAAATAAAAAGAAATACTCTTACTTGATTTAATCTATTCCCTGTTAAACCATCCAGTTTTGTTTTCAAGTGTACATAAATTGTGTTTTGTTGCAAAATCCAGGGATATATATACTTTTACTTTTAAAGCTCTTGGCAGTGAAACAGTTAACACATTAAAATGTGCATGTATGTACTTTAAACAACTCAATACATTAATGGATAAAGCAATGTGTATAAAGGCATATGCATGCTATATGTATTCTAAATGGCTAAAATTGTACATTGATGTATATTCTATTTCATTTAGGAACCACCATCAGATTGATCACCATTCACAAATCTGGTAATTCGGTCTTGATCCACACTCATCTTTGTTGACAGTTTCAGACATCCCAAGACTCCCGGAGATTCCTGGAGACTCTGGCATTTTGAATGCGGCTCCCAGACACCTGCAAATCATAAACAATATCCTGGAAATCACACACACAATCTGACATACAGTATATATCAGATGGTATGTCTCTGTGTGATATCCAGGATATTCTGTTTGATTTTCTGCCACCCAATAATATTTACTAACCTTGGGCCCGGTTGAGTTCCACAGCCCTTTAAGAGTCAACTGGACCCCTGTAATATCAACTGTCAGGGAGGAAGTGACAGGAGATCATTTCCTCCCAGCATCACAGAGAGCCGCATGAGAGGAATGGATGGAGACTGGAAGCAGAGGAGAGGCTAGAGTGAGCTGCTGCATGCTCCCTCCCATCAGCCTCAGCCATCACAAGGACCCCAAGCAAGTCACCTTCCTATATGTAAAAGGTAAGCTAACAGGAGGTTGGCTGCAAATGCAAAAAAATTTACATGCATGTATGTGGGCACGCCAGTGCATGTATCTGTATGTCACCATGTGTGTATATGTCCATGTGTGTATATCTGTGTGTACATGTGTCTGTGTTTATATGACAAGGTCTGTACATGTGTACATTCATGTGCATGTGCCTGTGTGTGTAAATAGTAGCAATATGTTGTTAAATAAATTGTTGTGTTCTCTCATAATAAAATGTCATGTCCTTGTTCATACATGTTTGGTGGCTGTGTGTGTGGGGGGGTGTGGGAAAGGGGGGGTGAGGCACAATAGTAGGTGAAGCCAGCTCACTGAAAGGAGTTTTTGAATGTTATAGTGTCTGCAGTTTTGACCAAACTCACCGATGATTTCATTTATGTAAAACCCAAGTCTGTTGCCCCTGCTCCATATTGGCACTGATGTGCCTCACATTGTGAAATTTATTTTGGCATTATAATCAGAAGCAGACTGCTCCATAATAGGTTCTTTTTAAAGCCAGGCTGTGTCATTCATAGTGTTGGTTTTCTCGTTTTTGACCTTGGCTCCGATCTTTACTTCTCTATACACTATCACTCTTGATCTCGTCTTGTTACTCATTACGTTGGCCTTCTGTACTCCTTTGAACATGTTCATTCCATGTGAATTCTCTGTTTCGCCATTCTAGGCACTCTCTAAAACAGACACTATAGGCATCATAACCACTTAAACTGAAGTGGTATTGTGTCTCTAAGTCCATGAGCTCATTAGTGCTAAATGGTTTACTCAGCATTTAGCAGAGTTGCTCGGTCCCTGGCAGCCTGCAATTCAGCCCCCAGTGATGAAATGGCAGAGGCAAATTTATGTTCCTCTTCACGTCCTACCAGGGGAGCATCAATGTCCCAATCTCTGGTATAAATTGTATATTGTACTTGGGGGCTGGATTGCACGTTTCCGGGACGCAAGCTTCTCTGCTAAACAGTGAGTGAGCTATTTATCAATAATGCAGGACCCAGCACTTGGATTAAAGGGACACTGTAGGCACCCAGACCACTTCAGCTCATTGAAGTGGTCGGGGTGCAGTGTCCCTTTTGCACTTAGTGCTGCAATGTAAAGCTTTGCAGTTTCATAGAAATTGCAATGTTTACATTCCAGCTCTAAGTCTGCCCTCAGTGGCTGTCTTTGGTCTGGTATCTGACGCTGGATGTCCTCACACTCTGCATGAGGACCTCCAGAGTCAGATTTTGCCCAATACGAAAGTATTGATTCAATGTTTTCCTATGGGGAGGTCAAATGCGTGCATTTGCCACGCATGCGCTTTAGACCCCACTCATTGAAGGGGGCAGAGCATCGGCGCTGGGATAAGGTGAGTAAATAAAGGGGTTTTAACCCTTTATTCACCCCGGAAAAAAGGGGGAGGGGGATGAGGAAGCTTTTCCTGGCATTTTAGTATCCCTTTAAGTTTTCTTTTTATTAAATGATTAATTTTGCATACAATCCCGATGTGCCGGTATAGACTGGATTTCCCTAGGTTTACAACTAGTCCTAATGGTTTGGTGGTGCCAAGCCTTTACCTTGATACATATTATCGTTGTACTACTTAACTCTGGAATCGCTTTTCGTGCTTTCATTTTATGTGTATTCTCCTCATGTGCTTTATCTAGGATACGATTTATCTCTACATACGATTCTTGCCTTTTCCTTAATAAAATGCTATTAAACACAAATCAGTTCCTAACTATGGGTCTATCTGTCTGTTCCCTCTGCACTTAGTCTGACAGGAAGCTGCTATAAACCCCCCATGTCACACAAAGGGACTGGGTGTTTATAGTGATAAACAAAAGGATTGTGTAGAGAGAAAGTGACGCACAAAGGAACTGGTGGGAGAGAAAGTCGCAAACAAAGGGACTGGGGGGGGACAAAGAGACACACATATTTGCCCCTTATATTGAATAAGATATTCAAAAGAGGGAATAAACACAAAATGGGGTAAAAAAATTCATATAGGTGAAGATGTATTTTGGGATTGGGGGGGGGCAGTAAAATGCATATTTGACTGCAGCCAAAAATACCTTGTACCTAGGGCTGCACTTTATCTGTGTAACTTCCTTCTCTTCATTAGACTCTCCTTTCAGTCTCCTTCCCTCCTCACACCTCATTAACCCAGCTCATTTCCTCCGCCTGCATCATCTAACATTTAAGGTCTCATTTTATTGTAAACTCTCCTAGCAACCAACGTTTTACTATGTTCAAATGCATTATAACTTTTGTTTAATTATACCCCGATCCCTTTTGTATGAGCAAGTCCCTTAGTACCTTCTGATACCTTCTGCTCCTGTACACTCAATTTGTCTCGTTTGTTAGTTAACCTATTATACAGGACTGCAGATTATGTTGGTGCTTTATAAGCTACAATGTCACTACAGGGGCTGTGGGTGGGCATTTTAACCCACCTAGATTATTTATTGTCCCCCTGTGTGACACCCCGCCTGAAGCACCAGCAATCAGGGAGGAAGGGTACCCAACAGTATTTAAACTAGGCAGAGTAGGCACTTGCCTACTTATACAGCCGGTGCCTTATCTGGCAAACTTCCTCACTGTATGCACTGTAGAGGAGCAGGGTGGCTAGGGAGCCCATTACTTATAGTGCTCTTGCACACACCCGGATACGATGTCATCCTGACATCAGCATCACTAGAGGGCACTAGGGAGCTGTGTAAGAAGGGCACAGTGATCTCAGCTCCAACCAATAGCAAGCAGGGAAAGAATCTACTTTAGCCTTTCCAGAGCAAGGTAGGGAGGCTGGATGGACCACAGTTATGTACACCAAAAAAGCAGCCATCACATACCATGGCTTAAGGGGATAGCCAGAAGTCAGATGACTAGAATCAAAAGAAACTGCTCAGACACAAAGGATTTTAAGATACAAACAGGCATTGTTAAAAATAAACTACCGGTAATCCAAAAAGGATACAACAAGAATAATATTGAAAAAGAAATTAGATTTGCGGAAAGGAAAAACAGGAATAATTTACTTGTAAATAAAATAGAGAAGACTCCAAATTATACATTTAAATATGCTTTTATGACGAGATATAACAAAAAACTATAGACATATCAGTAACAACTTAAACAAATTTTGGCCAATTCTATGTCAGGCCCAATTTTGGGAAATTATCTACCAGAACAAAAAAAAATTGTGTATGTATAGAAACGCACAAAACCTGAAAGGCGTATTAGCACCTAGCTATTTCAAAGGAGGTAAAAAATAGAAACTAAAACAATTTTGAAGATATCAGAAAAGGCCTAGTGACCCAGCGTGGAAGGCATGAGAAAATGGAACGCATGAACCACATGACCCGGAAGTAGTAGACAGAACGGTGAAGCGCAAAAAAGATGGCACTGGATCGCGGAATGGAGTTCCGGAAAAGGGAAACCCGGTGTTCTATCAAATTTCCCTACCTGTGAAAATCCCCTACCCTCGTCACTTCCGGTGAGGGGAATCAGCTGGATCCTGTGCTGCACATGCGTGCTAGGACTCCTGCTACTCCTCCACAGCAAGGTCCTGGAAGGTAAGTAAAGCTAGTTTTACACTTTCATTATAGTTAGTGCATTCACTAAGCTTAAGACATGGGACATTTAGGGTTAATGTTAGGGTTCAAATTAGGGTTAGGATTAGGGACTTGTTTATATTTAGTGATATTTCACACTAGAGGAATATCTATAAATAGTGATTTCTCACACTCTATTTTAACCCTTGTCCCAAGGGTTAGGGTAAGAATAGAGTGTGAGAAAGGTTAAAATAACTTACCTAACCCTAATTCGAACCCTCACTTAACCCTAAATGTCCCATGTGCCTAAGCTTAGTCTTTCTAACACTGTGGCATGTTCCCTTTCTTCTGTGCTAGCGGACAGTCCTTCGAAAGCACTGAGCGAGCGCGTCATTAGACGCATTTATGCCAAGCTCACGATACTGTTGGCCAGCATGCATGATTGGCAGGCAGCCTGACATGCATTCATGAAATTGGATAAGGATCAGCGCTTATTTATCACTTCTCTAATTTGTCAATATATATATAGATATTTTTTAAAAAACAGCTGCTGTGCATTCATGCGATACCTTCTAAAATCACAAACGAAAAGTGTACAGTAAAAAGAATGAAGCGCTTTTGTATTATGGAGATTATATAATTATTCACCTTTGGGAAATTGAGGGGTGTTCCCTTGCATGCCAGAAAGAAATGTGTTGATATCTATAAAAGATAACCAAACATAGTATAGACTGTATATAATTTTACAGAGATTTATACGATAATATTTAAACTCACAAACATAGAGCTATAGACCCAGCTCTGGTGTATATCGCTTCTGGGTCCGTTTAGGCGACCCACCCCTATTATCAGAACGAAATTTCTTGTCCTGCAGGGGGGAATGAAAGCACACACGATTGCGCAATATTGCTGGTACTGTTCTTAATATACAAAGCAGATTCCCAAGTGGGTACTTACAATAACTGGAGTCAGTATTAGTGACTCAATTCCACAGCGTTGTGCAGATTTGGGACTGGACTCCCATCTGTTAAAATGAATTCTGGAACCAGGATAAGGTCATAAAAATAAAAGTTAAATTTATTATAATAAAGTATAAAATAAAAAAGGCGACAATGTCCTTTTAAAAACGGAACAATGTCCTCTAAAACCGGAACGCGTTTCACCACTTCACCGTGGCTTCATCAACCGGAGAAAATGATTTCAAAGTCCCTTGGTTCCTTATCCTTCTTAAATACCGCTAAAAATAGGGGTGGGTCACCTAAACGGACCCAGAAGTGACATGCACTCATGCCAGGCTAGCCTTCCAATTCTTTGGGCAGAAACGCCTCCTTTTTGGGCATGTTCATCCCTTTTGGGAGTTCTGGTTACATGATCCGCGTCAGTGGCCCACCCTTTTACACTGCCCATTGACTTCCTGCTTCACTAGACACTGCTGTTAGGGGGTATGTATTTACTTGAAAGATGAAAGCATGAATTAGAGAGAGATTAGCATATTTTAAGAGAATCTGAGGTTTTGTTTAGCTGCATTCTATGAGTTCCCCTCCGGCAA